TCTAACTGAAGAGGGTCTTTGAGTGAAGCAGTAGGTAAGACTGTCATCTCCTAATGAATTCCAGGTAACCTATAAAGTCACCGGTAATGACAGCATGCATGGAATTTGTATTCTGTGTTTTACTGATGCATGGGTCTTGCTTCTAAGTTTGCAATAGAAAATGCTTCCTTAAAAGTAAAAAAAAATGTGTCTTATAGTTAGAGGTCAAACTGAATATGATGGCCTGATTTTTAACAAAAATACTTTTTAAAATACTCTGGAATTTGTGGAATTGTCTTGCTAATACATAAACATAATTAAATTTGTCTCTCTGGGCACTTCTTTCAAAAGTGGGGTGTTGGTCTTCCCTCAGAGCTTGAAGGGTGGGCTAAAGGGATGTAAAGGGGAAAAAAGGCGATCAGTCACAGGCTTCTGAATTGATTTGGGTTTTTTTCCACTAGGCTCTATTTAATACATTACCCAAGATTTGAACTGATGGAGATGATCAAATCCATCTGCCAATGGACTTCACAGAATCACAGCAGCTTGGGAGAGATCTCCAGAAACCATCTGGACTAACTCCCTGCTCAAGCCAGAACACACAGAACATGTTACCAGGACCATGTCTAAAAGAATTTTGAATACCTTCAAGGATGGAGACTCCATAACCTCCCCCTGGCAATCTGCGCCAGTGCTTGGTCATCCTCACAATAAAAAAGTGTTTTCTGGTGTTCAGAGGGAACCTCTTATGTTTCAGTCTGTGCCTGTTACCTCTGGTTTTGTCACTGGGCACCAATGAAGCCTGGCTCTACCCCTTTGCACCCTCCTCTCATGAATTTATGTACACTAATGGGATTCCCCTAAGCCTCCTTCTCTCCTGAACTATCCTAGCTGCCTCAGCTTTCCTTACATGTGAGGTGTTCCAGTCCCTTCATCATGCAAAGAGCCTCACATGTCTGAGTAATTTTGCTGTAGCTTTCCAAGGATCTTGCAAAATTTATGTCTTGTTTTGTTATTAATGTCACCATTTCTTATAATTGGCTCTGAGGTCACAGGTGCAAACACCAAGTAAGCCGAGTGAGGATTACATTCCACCAGCACCATAGGAACAGCCTGTTGAGTTAGACATGTCTTAATCTGTTGACTACATTAAGTAAAACATTTACATGGGTCCATTTATGATACAGCATTTTTACTTTACAGTAAAAATCAATGTTTGATGCACTTGTAAGGTATGACTGAAAAAAAGCCATTGTCAGTAATGTTCCCACTATCAACTGAATGCCTACATCTCTGGAGTGTTATCTGAAGGAGAAAACACATGTTGGCTTCATGAGAGCCTGGGGTTTGGCTGCCTGGGCCTGGGGTTTGGCTGCCTGGGCCTGGGGCCAAGGCAGAGCAGGTGGGACCATGGGGAAGAGGCTCCCAGAGGCACAGGGGGAGGCCATGGCCATAGCCAGCCCCACTCTTGGGCCCTGGCAGAGCTTTGGCCACTGCCATGTCAGTCCTGCCACAGGATGGTTGTGGCCCCTGATCCAGGTGCAGAACATGCCTCCGGGCCAACATGGATGTTATCAGGTGTTCTGTGATCCAGGCAAAACCAGAAACAGACACTGGTTTACTTGCAGGATAAGGCATTTATTAGTTCAGTCTGCAACTTCCTGTTATGCAACAGGAGAATGTTTTGATGAAGTGCCTAAGCAAAAAGTCCATCCACGAGCTCATTTTCCAAAGAAACATTAGGGCTCTGTGCCATTAATTCTGTATTTATGTTGCTTCTGTTTAGAACATATCTGACTAATTGCATTTATGGTTGTACTCAGAGAAGGGGAACCAGGTGTTTTAGCAGTTTGTCCAAATGTTATATCACTTCAGGCTCTGCCTGGAAAAATTAATAGCTTTTCAAGTATTGTCTCACAGTCACATTAATCTGATTACTGAATATGCATCCTGTTAATGGGATCTTTCCTCTAATGACAGGATTGAGAGTTTGGAGACTGAGGGCTCAGAATCATTAAAAATAGCCCTATGTAGTTAACTATCTGAGATTAATTGCAAACACCAAAGAACGTTGTCACTAAAAGCCTTTTGTTAAACACAGATACAGATTTTTTTTTTTCACAAGTAATTTATCTAAATGCAATTCAGGTTTTGAGAAGAACATCATTTTTTTCAGGAGGAAGTGGCAGTACAGGTCTCTGCAATCATGTTTGACAGCTGATGAAGAAAACAAAGCCTTTTAAATCTATTTAAAATAAAGTGGCTGAACACCAGGTCCCAGAGGTGATAATCAGTGGCACGGTGTAGCTGGAGGCCTGTCACTAGTGGGGTCCCCCAGGGTTCAATACCAGGCCCAGTATTTGACTGATTCATCAATGGCTTGGATGAAGGGGCAGAGGCCTCTTCTGTTCCAGCATGTTCACAAAGCTGGCAGGAGTGGCCCAAGCCCCAGAGGACTGGGCAGCCCTTCAGAGGCCTTCAGAGGGGCCCTGACAGGTTGGAGAGATAGACAGAGAAGAACTGTCTGAAATTCAGCAAGGGCAAGTGCAGGGTCCTGTACCAGGGGAGGAATAACCCCCTGCACCAGGACAGGTTGGGGGTCAACCTGCTGGAAAGCAGCTCTGTGGAGAAGGACCTGGGGGTCCTGGAGGACAACAAGTTGTCCATGAGCCAGCAGTGGGGGTCCAAGGAGGCTGATGGGATCCTGGGCTGTATTAGGAAAATCATTGCCAACTGCAAAGGGCTGTTTATCTCTTCCATTTATGATGTTTGGTAGGACAGAACAGGACTCAGGACTTTCTCACTGCTCTTACAGTACTGCAGAAACAGGTTGTTTCTCTATTGGCAGTCCATTCTGTTGCTTGTAGGTGTCTTTGCCTTCTCCTTCAGCTAGTTGCTGCCTTCAGGACATCAATCATATCTCTGAGCTATTTTGTCATCTGTGTGGATTTCCTGGGCTATTTTTCTGGTCATATGGTCTATGTATTTATTATTTATAAATGAAAGAGTAGTCAGCGCTCTGCCATTGCTGCCTTACCCTGTGTTACAAACTGCTAATTATAATTGCCCTGGCTGCAGCTGAAAATGCTTTGCCTGAACGTTTTCTGAGCTTAGGTTTCTCACTGTATTTCTGGAGGCTGGCAATGATCTTGTTTTTGTTCAACTATTCTGACCTTTGGAATATTTATGGAGATTCACAGAAGCAGTCAAAAGCAAAACACATAGAAGAGATAAGAGGGATTTCACAGCACTGATGGAGCAGTGATGGCTTTGGTGAGAGAAAACCAAAGAACTGCAGCCAGCCAAAGTTGGTGCTTCAATCTTTTAGAATGAGACCTGTCTGTATAAAGGCTGAAATCAATAGATTCAGTCACAACTGTGCAATGTGGGCATCTGTGAGAGATTGTCACGCAGATAAAATCTCCCTAATATACCTTTATCTACTCCTGCTGTGCAAAGCAGCCCTGTTGGATTACTGCTTTGACCTTGACATCGGTGCTACAAGGTTCTTGTGTTTTTGCACAGGGAGCAGCCCAGAAAACGAGTACAACAAATGTGCTGCAGACAACAAATGCTCTGCTTTGTCATTTGCCTGGCTGTTGGTCAGGTTATGCCACACCAGAACCACTCTGGATTTGAAATCCTCCCAGTGCTTTTCTGCATATGTGTATATATGTATATACATGTATACAGTTAACTACTCCTCACTTCATTACCATGTTTCCCAAAATGCTTGGGCAAGGTCACAAGCATCTCTGCCCATACAGAGCCATAGCTCAAAATGACTCAGGTAGTAAGGGACATGAATGAAAAAGTGGTTAGGAACAACCATCGTGGATTTTCCAGAGATATGGAGGCTGACTAGCCTGATTACCTTAAAGAATGAAAACACTGAGAAGAGAGAGATTTTATGCACCTTGACTCCATGAGGACTTTCAGCAGTGTCCTGATGCATCCTTGTAGCCAAACTGATGCGAGATAGATTGAAAAAGACAACTATAAGCTGGGTGGAGTATTCACTGGCCTGCCAGGCCTGAAGGGTGGTATCAGCTGTGCCAAGTCCATCTGGCAGTGAGCCAGTAGCAGCACGCTGATCCAGCTCTGGGCCCTCCACCATGAGAAAGATAGAGATAAGCCTGAACACTTTTGGCATAAACCACCAAGATCTTTGAGGCTGGCGCACGAGGGCTAAGAGAGACTAAGGGAACTTTTCAGCCTGGAGATAAGAGTATTTCAGGGGAACTTAACAGACCATGGATACACCAGACACTGGAAAATACAACTAGATTTGCAAAGGACAACTCATCAGAATTAGGGAGAAAAGGGAGAAACAACACATTACCCTTTTCCCATATTAAAAAACTATAAACAAAGTTTTCTTCAGTGTCTTTGCGGAAAAGACTGCTTTTTTCAATGGAGAAAAGCAGGGCAGATATTAGGGTTACAAAAATTTGAAGTAGGAGAGCACATAAGGGAAAAAAAAATATGGTGAAAATACACATCGGAGTTTTTTTTAAAACATTTTATTACTCCTGTTTCTTTGGGCTTTCATAAAAATTTCTTAATTCATAATAAAAAACATTTGCTTTTCTGTATGCTTCACAATTGGTAACACTTGGCAAATTGTTAATATTTTTCAAGACAAGAAAAATTAGGCTTTTGAAAATGACATCAGAATTTCAAATAGACATCTGTATTTAAAAATATTTGGTAATATTAAAAAATATATATTAACAATAGAATATGCGAAAAATGCTGATAACCTTATGCAGCTTTATGTATATATTTACTGTTTAGAAGCGCAAATACACAGTTCTCATCAAAATTTGAATACAATTTAAAGAATGCAATACTCAATAAAATGTGTCCAAAATTGCCTATTTATTTCCAGTTAAAACTATTGAAAATTAAGGTAAAATACATTTAAAGTAAAAAGTCAAACAACTGACTGAAATTAACACAGCCAGCAGAATAATGGCAGAATAATGGTGTGGGTTTTTCTGAGTCAGTCCAGATGAGTACATTCAGCATCACCAAACATTCTGCAATTACACATTCTGATATGCTGCAAAGGGCCTGAGTATTGTCAGAGTTACACAATTCCTGACTGGGGAGATTCTTATAGCCAGCTCCCATTTTCTGCACTTTCAATCACAGCATTCTTCTTTCCAGCTGTTCCATCTGCATCGCTTGTTTCTTCGAACACCGCCACTAAACTTGACAGAGTTGTGTGAGGATCAAGCAGTTTCACAACGGGTATGTCCACCTTTCTCTCCCGAAAGACACGGTTCTGAATTGTCATGGCTAACATAGAGTCCATGCCCAAAGATGAAAGTGGCGTATTCATGGTTAGTTCATCTGCATTCACTCCTGTGAGGTCACTCATCAGTGAGGTGATGTAGTCCTCAGATTTGAGAAAGGCGGTCTCGGGGACTTCAGCTTCCTCAGACGTTTCCATCTTGTTCATGTAATCTTCTGACATAAGTGTTATGAAGCGACTTTTGAGAGAAATAATCTGACGAAAAACATGATGATACAAAGTGTGAAAGTTCAATTTGGCCACAGCTTGCTGTGGGTTGTTTATAAGTAAGGTCTTCCTGAGATAGTCATGAATTTCATGCACTTGCAGAATGTCTACGCCCTTGGATTCCAGAATGCTCTGAATGAGGTCTTGGTTGAGCAGAATGCCGAGGTTCAAAGCACCCCAGTTAATGGCCTGGCCTGAGAGCCCACAGTTCCTCCTGTAGAGGCAGAAGAGATCCAGGAAAGAGTTTGCAGCTGCATAGTTTGTCTGGGTGGCATTGCCCAGAAAGGAAGCAACAGAGGAGTAGCACACAAAGTAGTCAAGCTCCTGGTCTCTGGTAGCCCAGTGAAGATTTAGGGTCCCTGCTACTTTTGGGCTCAGTACTTTGTGGAAGTCAGCCAGCTTCAGCACTTCAAGGTGGCCGTCGTGTATAGCAACAGCGCTTTGGAACACCCCTTTGATGGGGCTCCCCACAAAGGTGGTGGCAATGGACTGGAAAGCTTTCTCAACATCGCTGCTCAAAGTCACATCACACTGCACAGACACTACTTTGCTCCCTTTGTACTGCTGCTGCAAAGCCCTTAACTCTTCTTGCTTCTCACTGCTGGGAATTCTCCTGGACAGAATTGCAATACACCCTCCCCCGTTCTCAGCTATGAATTTCACTGTTTCAAAGCCAAGTCCAGTGAGCCCCCCAACTACTACATAAACAGCATTCTGCTTGAACAGCTGCTTCTGGGGCTCGTACAATGGGATATCTGAAAGCACACTGATGTCTTTCTGCCTTCTCAGGACAGCAAGGGGGACAGAAGTGCAGGTGAAATAGGACATCACAGAATTTAGCCCTTCAAAATTCTCAGTCTGCTGAAAAACAGAACCTGAAAGATTTCTAAACCGTTTCATATTCATGGAACTGATCCAGGCATGTACGGTCTTCTGCACTTCCTTTAGAGGTGCTTTCTGGAAAAGGCGGGCAACGGCAAGGATATGAAAGCTGACGTTTTCATGATCAATTTCACTGACATTCTGGATGCATTCTGACTGTTGCCTGCCACACACGATCACCACATCTTTAAGAAAGGACATGTGGGCCAGGTCCTCCTGAGACAGTCTGTTGACTGGAGGAAGAATAACAAGGGCACTGCACAGGTTGATATATTGCAACATGTTAGGAGTGGGCTTTGCAAGGACTGTTCTCCAACCCATCTCTTCTGCTGCTGCAGAAAGAACATGGCACAGAACTGAGGATGGCTCTGTAGTAATAATACCCAATGTTCTGCCATGTTTTCCTTTGGGTAACCTCTGAGTGAAGATCTCCCATGCAATGATGAAGTATGACACACAAGGGACATTCTGGAGGAATGGGAATTTCCTTGCATGGAAACAAACTGTTCCTGGAATCTGAACTCTGGATGATGCAGCAGTGGGATAACATGAAACCACGTGATCTCCCACTTTCACTTTTTTCACATCACTGCCTGTTGCAGTGACTGTGCCACTGAAATCAAGAGCTAGAAGCCTGTGTTTGTCCCCTGCCTGGGAGTTCCAATACAGTGTATTACCAAAGTTACAGCTAGAAACACTAATGGGAAAATAATCTTCTGAGTGCAAGCAAATTTTATCCACTTGAATTTCAACACTCTGTTTGTCAAGCTGAGTTGCAGTGCTGCTGGATAATTCCCCAGACAAGTCTTTTGCTCTGTATGGATCAGAAGTGTACAAAGTGAATGATTGTGATTTCTGGAGTGATCTTACTGGTTGGATGTAATCTGCATCTACAAAAGGTGTGCGTCTGATTTCGGACACATAAATTCTTCCCTGGCTGATGCAGACTTCCGGATAGTCCCCACCTTTGTACTTGATAAGAACATCTGCTAACACTGAGATGTCCAGGGAAGTGGAGGAGCTGAGGTCAATCAACTGAAATGTGATTTCTGGAAATTCAACAATACAGG